AAAAAAAAAAAAAAAAAAAAAGACCAGATTTTTGGGAGCTTTTTAAACTGACTGGTAGGGATTTACAAGCAGAAGGATCTAATCCTCCCCTCCCAATATGAACATTAAGAGCAGCATAACTTGTTGAAATACACACACAGCCATGTTTATATAACTAACCGGTCCTGCTCTTTTCATGTCAGGCTGCTGAAAGGCAGAGGAATTTCCTGTCTTGTGACTTTCCTTGTGGTCTAGACACTAAAACACAATGGGAACACACTTGAGATATTTCTCTGTTGTTGTTTTGAAAAATGTTTCTAGTTTGAGAGAAATACCCTGGTGCACATCATGTGAACCAGAAGAAAAAAAAAATTAGCCACGTGCTGGGAAGTTCCCGTGTGTACTGTTTGTTCTGAGTCTTCAAGTTTGACTAAGCTATTGGGGAAGCTAAAGTCATGGAAATATCTGAGAGAGAATTTGTCTTCCGGTGCACGGGGACTTGTGGTGGTTTTAAAAACATTCAGTGCATTGCACTGACCTTCAGCTCTCCTGTGCCCTCTGAGCTCTTCCTTGCTCAGAACTACAGTGCCTTCTGGTCCAGACTGTGTTCCCTATTTCAGTGTTTCTAAAAGAGCCCTTGTGGCTATCGTTTGCAGTATTTTCATGGGAGGAGCTTTCCTTGGGTCAGATGTGGGACTTTTGGGAATATTGCTTCATGCTCTGGTCCCTTTTCTAAATCTTACAGAGCTATGGCAGTGGTGGGGCTTTATCCCTTTATGAAACTTGGCTTAAAAAATATGAACTCAGGCAATAAATCAGGGTGCTCACTTAACTGCCAAATCTGCTGTCACATCTGTAGTAGGGATAAACAAAGGACAGTGCAATGTTACTTCCATGTTTCATTCGGTGCCGCCAGAGCAGAGGGGCTTTTAAAATTAAATAGCAGGCCTGGTATTTGAAAATGCATCTCCAATTCCACTTTAAATTTAAGCTCAGTGAGCAGATTTTTCACTTTGAAACTGCCTCTTTTCCTCCTGCCCTTCCCCACCCAAGTAATCATAAAAAGATTTTTCAGGCTGTGTGTCTACATAACAGAAAGACTTGTGGCGCTGGAGTCCATGGAGCAGCCTGTTTGCAAGCTGTGCTTCCCCATGTGCTGCCCCAGCCCTTGCAGCTGCTTTTCCCGAGAAGCCCAGCTCTGTTAGGGGATCCCCTGCCATCAGAGTAGGGGCTCTGCGCCAGCTCCAGGACCCCAGCGTGGAGCTGGCTGGGCACAGTAGGATGGTCTCAATGCTCGGGCTTCGTGTCCTGCAGTAACGGGTATCCCCTGGTGCTGTACGCCCATCCCCGTCTCAGAAATGAGCAGCCATCTGTGAACTGATCCATCGGTAGGCATCGTGTGAAAACTTAAAAGGCAAATGAAAGACATTAGCTAAACCCTATAGCTGGATCTGGCTGGCAGGCTGCCAGGTGGACCATCCTGACGGGTCATGGCTTTCTGCAGCATAGACCAGTACTGTGTCATTGGTCGGCCCAGCACTGACTGCAGTACAGGTCAGCTGTCTCCGCTCAGCCCCAAGGGCCGTGAAACACTGTCCACAGTTGCACGGCTTCCTCATTGTGGCTGGCGAAGCATGGAGCTACTCCACTGACAAGTTGGAGTAGCTGGAGATGCCCTGAGAGCATCTCCTATTTCCTTTCCTTGTGCAGAGACCTCATGGAGCCTTATTAAATGGCTCCTAGTCAAAGCAGAGACGATCTCTCTTCTTTGTCTCCAGTTTCATCTGTGGGACTGTAATGGCTTTGGGCAGCAAAGCAGGTGGAGGAAGGAGGATGCAAGGTTTGAGTATGTGCATTAGGGCCACCTTCTTGCCAGTTCAGCAAATGCTTTGTAGGCCATTAGTTGTTAAAGAATCACTGATAAAGTTTATCATGAACCTTGCTCTGCATTCAAGGAGGCCTTCTCGTAGTGAGACTTGGAGTCTGAGCTGTATTTTGATGACTGTGGCAGATGCATTGTCAGTTGAAGATAGGGCAGCCTGGGCAAGTAGATTCTCTCACCTGTGGAGAAGAAACACCTCTTGCAGTTTCTTTGTGCAGCCTGATAAGTATTACACCCCTTGCAGCACAAGGGAAGGGCTGCTGACAAAGCAGTCATCACCTTTTAGCAAGCGGATAAAGTTTGCATGGGCTGTGTGAAATTCTCTGACTGCAATTTCACATATTGTACATTTTTCCTTACAACAGAACTGGTGTAAAGTGGTTCAGTAATGAAATTGTTCAGTGCTGTTGTTTGGTGTGCTTTTCCAGCAGGGGGAATATTGAACAATCTTACTAAAACTTGACCAATTTGTGTCTCCAAGGATGATACAAGGGATGGAAATGTCCTGTTCACTAACCGGGAAGAATTTGTAAAACACATTTCATCACCATATTCTTCGTCACTTTTGCTTCCTCCTGTCAAACCAGTCCTACTCTCTTCTGATAGCCGTATAGATAATTTCGGGCCTCAAATTCCATCCTGCTGCTCTCCTGCAGTTTTGTGCGAAAAAGAGCCGTTCTGACTCAGCTGTATATTTTTTTTTTTAATCTCGGTGCATGCCTCTCTGGTGCTTTTGTTGTGGGAGTATAACCTTTTTTTAATAAAAGTTGTTTGCGTCCTAAGAGCCAGACAACCGAAGAGCTGTTCCCTTGAGTTTGTCATTTTATGTTCATGTGGTATTACCATGTGTCTCTGTCATTGATTGTCGGGAAAGCGTGTGTTTGGGTGGAGTCTGAAGTAAAGCTGTTGTGGACATAAAAACTGAGGGAGATCTCTCTGGCTGCAGCAGTTTCTCCTTCATTGTCATTTTGGTTTGCTCTGCGGGGCTTTCTCTTTGCTTGGGCAGGGTTTTTTTGCACTGACCTTCCTATGGAGATACACCAATCTTTTTCATTTTGTGGTCAGGTAAGAAGAACAAGTTGCGAGTCTACTATTTGTCCTGGTTAAGAAATAAAATCCTTCACAATGACCCTGAAGTAGAAAAGAAACAGGGCTGGACGACGGTGGGCGACTTGGAAGGCTGTGTGCACTATAAAGTTGGTGAGTAGCGAATGCGGTAATCAAATCATCGGGATAAAAGCTGGCTGAGAAAGGGAACTGCAGTGCGTGTAGCTGCTGGGCTTAAGATTTGGTTTTATTTCTGTCTTCCCTATCTCTCAGGGCGAACTTTTCTGGCAAAGCACCAGAATAGGTGGCAAGTTACTGGGTTAAACTGAATATGGGAGAGGTTTTGCGGTGGGATGCTGGGCTGTGAACTGGAGCGGGCGCAAATCCCCATCTGTTTCCTTCCCGTGGCGGATGCAGCTTCCAGGAGAGTGCTAATATGGACAATGAGGGCTGGTAATGTTTTGCCACCTCTGTTAGACCCTTTAGGTAACAGAGGGACTCTTGTCAACCAGCAGCTGTTCTCTTCACTAACAGGTTTCCCTGATTTACTGTGATGAAATCACATGCTGGAATGGAATGAAAAAAGTCTCCTCTTTAATGTAGATTTTAAAAACTGGGGGAAAAAAAAGAAGAGGAAAAGACAAGAGAGTGGGAGGAGAAAGCAAGCCCAGCTAGTGCACGAGCTTTGCGGAGGCATCTGGGAACAGAAGCATATGTTTAACTTCAAGATGATTCATTGATTCCCTTTAGCCTATGAAATTTCCTAATGCCGTCTCAGATCCACTGCAGTACAGTTATGGGATAAAGCGTGTTTTCACTAGGCAGGTGCCTTTGAGTGGTTTTAAGTCATTTAAATGGATTTGGCATAGAAACTTTCACCAAACCTAGTGAAAGACATGTAGCATTCACTGTCAGCAGAGTATGCAGTGAGCCTGGTGCCCTGCAGGTGGGGATATGAACCAAGAGCTCTTTCTCCTGCTTCAGCCTCATGATGCATCTTAATGGGCCCTGGATGTTGCCTTTGATTTGGTTTTCTCCTAAGAGCCAGCTCAGTTCCTTTCCAGCTGTGTCAGTCAATGTGGAGCAGCAGCAATCGGACCGAGCTCAGTCTCCTCCTGTCATGCGTGTGCTCTTGGTAAAACCTGCTAGTGGGGCGTAATCAGTACCGATGGCAGTAAGTGACTGCTGAACCAGGAGCTTGACCCCAAAACCAATTAATAATGTATTTCTCTGGTATCATACCCCAGGGTGTCAGCAGCATAATGAAGTGGCCTGTTAACAATACATTAACAGCTATTGAAAGGAGGCTTTCCAGCAGGGAAGCGTGTGAAACAAAGAGCATTCTCTTCCAGATGAAGAGGGGTTTGTTACCCTGGGCTGCAGCCTGGCACTGAACTTCCCTCTGAACCATAGATGACTTCTTCAGGTAGTGAGAGGCCTCTTTGACAGCTGCGCTTCAGTTCCCAAGAAGGATGAGTTCTGCCAATAGTTGGGCTCACGGTCTGGAGGCTGCCACCGAGGCAGCTGGCACTGATAGCTTCCTTGTCTCTTTGATGCAACAGGGGTCTCGGACGTCAGTGTGAAGTGGTATTTATGGATCCCGGTTGCTTCAGGCAATTTTTGGCTCCTCTAAATGATAAATTGCTCTTTTAAAACTTAAGATTTGGGTGAATTCCCAGATAGCACCCAGAGCAAAGAATGAGGATTATCAAAGGTCCCCTTTCATAGATAAGGTGGTTTTGTTCGACAACCCCCTCTTCCCCGAGAAAAAATTCCAAGAAGTCTTGTAAGCTAGACAAGACTGAACAAAAGCTCTGTTTTTCAGTCGGTACAGCTGTGGAGGTTGAGAGACTTCTTTTTGTCTGTTGAAAAAGTGTCAAGTCCTTTAACACTTACAGTTCAGTACTCTTGCTTCCCTGCAGAGTAGAAAGGGAGCAAGTAGTAGCTTTGTCTCCCTGTTACCTACCAAGAGACAACTGCAAGCTTGTACAGTAGTAAGATATCTAAAAGGCATTGAAATATTATTCTTTTAATAATAATTATTAAAATTATTTAAAAATTATTAAAGAAGTGTTCTTCGCACAAGTCTGAGATTTTCACTCCTGCCATGTTTCAAAATCAGTTTTGGTTGGGAGATATAATGGCAGAAGGTGAAGGTGCACAGAATTACTCATTGTTTTGGAAAAGCGTTATATTCCCCTGAAACTTGGGGTAAAGAGGTAGCAGAAACCTCCTGAGGTTTCTCAGTGTCATCCATAATGCTATTTTTTTTTCTTCTCCCCAAAAAGAGTGCTGGAAAGAGGTTAACAAACCTCAACATTTGGAAGTCCCCATGATCTGTTCCTTCCCAAATCCACATGGCAGCTGGAAGTGGCAGATCCAGCAACACTTCTTGAATGGCTGTTTCTAGACTTTATCATTCCCCTCCTGAAAACAGAAGTAGTGAACAGAGCTTTTTTTGATGGTTAATTTAGCCAGCTGTTGGAATATGGGAACAGAGGTATATTCAAGAATTTGTGGATCAGCTGTGTCATGACGTTTTATTTCTGATAAATTCTGTGGATTTTTTCTTTTTTTTCTTTTCAAATGAGTTCTCACGGGCTTTAGGGACAAAGAATACACTCTGCCACAGTCATAGGCTTCTTTTATTGGAAATGTCCCGTCTGAAAACCAATTTTCTTGTCTTGATGAGTAAGCACTATCAAGAGTGCTTACTCATTCCACTAAGTCTAATGTGGAAAAAAATAAGTGTAAATAAGTGTATACCAGTTAGGTAATTCAGAACATGGTGACAGGTTCAGTTACTGATAAGAGTAATGATTTTTGTGGCATAAATGTGTCAACATACTTAACTACATAGAATTAGCAATCCTAAAATGCAGTGTTACTAGAAACCTCCAAATGTGTGTAAGTATGGAGAAATATTGTCATTTTCTGCTTTCCTGAAGTAACTGGCATGACTTTGGAATTACTGCTGAATTCTTTTATTGTTTTGTTTTAATTTCAGTAAAATATGAAAGAATCAAGTTCTTGGTAATTGCATTGAAGAGTTCTGTGGAAGTCTATGCATGGGCACCAAAGCCATACCATAAATTTATGGCCTTTAAGGTAACAGTATATTTCATATATTCACTTGCAGTTACCCCTTTTACAAAAATGCTCCGACATTTTATCATGGCCATCTTACAAGTTCTTTGGTAAATCTGCCATGAACTTCCTATTATATTTTAATTTAAGAGCTTTTCTAGCTCTAAGAGGCAGTACACTTAAAGTTCTAAATTGTAACTGAGCATAAATTAATAATCAAAATGACACTATCACAACTGTTTGTTTCATCTCTCTATAAATAAAGCATGCGGCAGAGAGAAGTGAACTGAGTCTAAACATCTTCATCTGAGCAGAACAAGTCATTAAGTGATACTCAGCATTGTTGGTTTTTTGAATGCAGCAAGAATGAAGTTAGCTGGCTTGGTGTAATTACCAGACTGATTTGCAGATAATCAGTTACTGTCAGTTGTACAGATTGAAGTAAACACTACGGGAGCGTCAAATTGCCCTGAACTTTGGGGAAAACAACTCTTACTAAAAAACAAACAGACCAACTAGAGTAAACCTCACAGACAATAGCTTACAGTATTATGTGATTGAAATGCAACAGGTTGCAGAGTAATCTGTCCTTGTCCGTGAGAGACATGTTAGCCTGACTGGTCTGGTGGATGGGGACCGGAAGGACGTGGGAGGAATAAACCCATAATATGTGCATTAGAGCATGTTTTTATAAAACCCACTGTGGTTCTAAGCAGTAAAGTAAATCTCACTGATGGTTGTCTTACAGTCGTTTGGAGAATTGGTACATAAGCCATTGCTGGTGGATCTAACCGTAGAAGAGGGTCAGAGACTAAAAGTGATCTATGGCTCCTGCGCTGGCTTCCATGCCGTTGATGTGGATTCCGGATCAGTCTATGATATTTATCTACCAACACATGTAAGAACTGCTGCTGGGGCTGGGTTTTTTCTTTCTTTCTGGATTTCCTCCCCTCTTCCTTTCCTCAGATGACCAACATGTCGGGCTGTTCCTGTGGATCACTGCCAGATGCTGGCAGTGGTAAATTGGGTCCAAGGAGGGGTCCAAGCAGATGCGGCCACCTGTGCTTAGGGGCTCGTGCCTCACTCTCTGTCCTCTCCTCATGGTCAGTATGTCTCTGTGGTTGGGAGCTGCCCACTCAGATCTGACATGGGCCAACATGACTGTTTCAGGGGTAGCAGCTAAATGGCCGAGTGCATTGCAAATGCCCGGCAGAGGCTGCAGGGAAGGTGGCAGTACAAATGACATGGCAGCCCACTGATAAGATTCAACAGGGTTGGCAAAGGCCAGGTGGCCTTAGCTACCAAGGTTTCCTGTTGTTCATCGTACACAGAGGTGTCAGATGGGCCTGCAGTGTGCCGTGCACCTCCCCAAGCACCATTCACTGCAGTGCAGAGGTCTGAGGTCTGCATCTGGGCTGCTTGCCCCAGGCTCCCTTTCTGCCCATGGAAAGAAATGGGCACTCCTGGTTTTAGATGTCTGCCTTAAGATGGGAGCATTTGTGCCCCAAAGGTTCCCAGGTCTTTGTTGTCACTGCGTAGGGTGTCTAGCTTGGGGAGAGCAGAGCTAGCACTTCTAAAGTGAGTGAATCCCTGATGTGCTGTCAGCCAAAATCAAAAAATCACCCAACCCTTTCTCCCAGTGCAGGCTCTGTGGCATTAAGACAAAAGGCTTCCTCTTTTCTTCCATCTCTGTAGATCCAGAGCAGTATCCAACCTCATGCAATCATCATTCTCCCAAACACGGATGGGATGGAGCTGCTGGTCTGCTACGAGGATGAAGGAGTTTATGTCAACACATACGGAAGGATCACGAAGGATGTGGTTCTGCAGTGGGGAGAAATGCCAACTTCAGTTGGTAAGTACCTCAGCAGAGTCAAATACCACGTGCTGTTAGGGAGTGTGAGTGTGTGCAGAAGGAAGGTGCATCAGGTTTGACTTCAGATTCAGAAGCAGCGATGCTGTAGTATTCCTGGAAAACAGCTGCGCAAAGTAGAGAGTAATCATATGGATCTGTTTTGTGCTGAGTTTTTAAGAACAAAATCCAAACAAGCAAGTTGCGGAGTTCAGGAATGAAAAACTCATTTAATAAACATCAGGGCCTCCGTGGGCAGCTACAGAATTTTTGCTAGGCAGCCACAAAGTTGTGGAAACCTTTCAGTATAAAGATGTGTAAGGTGACAGATGGGTAAGATATTATGGGTAATTCTATGTTGATAATGTCTGTGTATCTGATTTGATGTGTTTACTTTCATTCACCTGCAGATTGCTCATCTATCCTGGCATGGTAATTCTCCCAAATCTCTCCAGTTCAAAATAAGGTAGTTTTGAGAGTGGGAGCGATGAGTGTAGTAAAATGGGCGCAGATTTGTTACGGACACAAGTGCACAGCAGCATCCCTCTGACTGCCTGTGCTGCCGTATTTCAGTGCTGAGCGTAGTATGGGCTGTGGTCACACCTTCCTTTTCTTGGGCAAGCACATTGAGTTCTACATGCTTCGGAATGGATGCATGTATTGGGAGATGACAGCTTGATAGCTGTTCGAGCAACGCGAACAATAATGGAGGAGGAAATTTAAACGAGTTTCATGCACAACACATTCACTCCTGTGGTGATTAACTCTTGACTAGATCTAAAAGCAAGCAGCATTTATCAGCTGGCAAATTGCAGAGCCTTTGGGGACTGGAGTGCCTGTGAAGTAAATGGCACTGAGGCAGCCGACACCATCTGAACATCTCATCTGACAATTTTTAGAAGCTCTTTGGCCCAGTTACCACTAGTGACATATTTAAAAATAATTGAATTTCCAGCATGATGGTATATGCGATGTTATAGCTGTACATTATACTGTAGCAGATAATTTGATATAATTTCACTGAAAATTAATATGAGAAAAATTCTATAAAAGGGAAGTACTACAAAATTAAATATTTTTAAATTTTGCTTGCTAAGAGCTATTTTCTTCTTTTTATTTTTCTGTTAAGTATGCATGCAAATCAGGGGCAACAGCTTATTCTTCATTAAGTTCCCATATGTTATTTTTGGCAGCGTTCCTAAGACTATCCATCAAATTGCTGTTTGAATATACCTTTTCATAATGCTGGTGACTTCCTCCTTTATTTGATTTTTTTACTGCTATCAAGAACAGATTTTTTTCCTCATGCTACTACTAATCTGTTTTCCCCAGTGACACCCTTAAGGAAAAAGGCTTGAATTTTTGCTTTGTTTGTGCACAAAGGAAAGCGGTATGACAAATGATAGTATTTCCACTTGGAGAGCTTAATACGAACCTCTTTTAAGATATACAGAATACTTTTCAGACCAATTGGCTTTCTCGAGAAGGAGAGCAGGTTTTTGAAGTATTACTCCTATTAAAGGAGGCTAGCTCATTTTTTTTCTAGTTTTCCCTTTCCCTCTTCCCCTTTCTCTGTTTTTGCTGACAAAGTCCTTCAAGGAGGGAAAATAACACTGTAAGACACAGAGCTGGTGCTGGGGACATACCGGAGTGGATGGGTTTATTCTGTTGAAACCTTGGGTTCTGCTTTCTCCTTGTCAACACCTAATTAGCCTGTCTCTTTGCCAAACTTGGGGAGAAAAAGCCTGTGTAAAAACTCGATGTTCCTTCCATTTAGTTGAAGGTTGGAAGGTTCCCATTGTGTCATGAATGCTCAGGCAAGACATGTATTACTAATGTGGAAAACCCACAGGGAAATTAAAAAAAAAAAAAAAAAGGTATTTTTAGGCATCGTGAAAATGCTGGAGTGAGAAATGGCACTCTGAATATGTGTGTAGTTATAATAAGTACATGCAGGTCATTTTTAACTAGGGTGCGTCAGTATATTCCCCTGCTTTTTCAGTTCCTCCATGTTGCCCTCTACCTGTCCTAATGGGCTGTGTGCTGTGTTTTCTTCCCAAAGCGTACATCCGATCCAACCAGATTATGGGCTGGGGAGAAAAAGCTATCGAAATACGATCGGTAGAAACTGGACACTTGGACGGTGTGTTCATGCACAAAAGGGCACAAAGACTCAAGTTCTTATGCGAACGCAATGACAAGGTATAATTCCCCCCCCCTAGTTTCTTGCCAAGATGGTAAACATGTTCTTTAACTGGGTACTCGTGGTGGGTTGGCCCCGACCAGCAGCCAAGCACCCACCCAGCCTCTCGCTCACTCCATTCTCCCATGGGATGGGGATAAAATAGAAGGAAGGCGAAAAGACTCATGGATCAAGATAAAGACAGTTCAATAAGGACAGCAAAAGCTGCACACGCAAGCCAGGCAAAATAAGGAATTCATTCACAACCTCCCGTTGGCAGGCAGATGTCCTGCCGCTTCCTGGGAAGCGGTGCTTCAGCACGCGTAACACTTACTTGGGAAGACGAATGTCATCACCACAATGTCCCCCCCGTCCTCTCCCTTTCCCTGAGCTTTTATCGCTGAGCATGATGTTACATGTTACGGGATATCCCTTTGGTCAGTTTGGGTCGGCTGTCCCAGCATTGTCCCCTCCCAGCCTCTTGCCCATCCCCAGCCCACTGGCCTTTGAGGGGCGAGGGGGACGGAGAGAAAGCCTTGATGCTGTGCAAGCGCTGTTCGGCAGTAGCCAAAACACTGGTGTGTTAGCAACACTGTTTAGCCACAAATGCAAAGCCCAGCACCGTACGGGTGCTATGAAGAAAGTCAACTCCATCCCCGCTGGACCCAGCGCACCACTGCAGTTGCACTGTAAATATCAGGGGCAGTAAAGGCAAATTAGAGCCTCTGCTGTCCTGCCTGTTGAATTTACCAATCTCTTTTCTTTGCAGGTTTTCTTTGCCTCCGTACGGTCGGGTGGAAGCAGTCAAGTCTATTTCATGACCCTTGGCAGGACTTCTCTTCTGAGCTGGTAGAAGCGGTGGGATTTGGCGAGGAATTGCTGACATCCAGAGTCTGAGATCTTCATAACTCGGAATTATTTTCAACTGGAGTACAGACCTGCACGAATGCAGCACTCTGTGTATATGTGTGTGCAGGCATCACTGGTGTTAGGTTTCTTTTTGTTTTTCAACTGAGGCTGCGACGCAGCTGGTGCTGTAAAGATATTGCCATCAGGTGCTACAATGTCTTTGAGATTTGGGATCACGCTAGAAAGCTACAGGTCTTCTTTTCCCTTCAGCTCCAGGATTCCTAGGCTTTGAAGGACTCTGTTTGTTAGTGTTAAAACAGAGAGGGGGGAAAAAACCCCCAGACTTGGTGAACATGCTGTTGAGTGGACAGGAGGCAGGCAAGAGAAGGTGAGAAGTGGTGTAGAGAGTCAGACTGGCTGAAACAGAGGGCAGATCTAGTCTAGTAATGTTAACAATGTATTTAATTGACATTTCTTTTTTTGTAATGTGACAATATGTGGACAAAGAGGAAGGTGGAGGTTTTAAGAAGTTAATATTTATAAAATGTGAAAGACACAGTGACTAGGATAACTTCTTTTTGGGGACAGGGAGGGTGGGAAGGGGCTTGGGGTGGAATTCTTGGGGTTTTTTTGTTTCTGCAGTTTTATTTTGGCCTGGCCAATAACTTTAGTCATTTTCTGTGTACCAGGTATTGCCTGAAACATGTGCAGATGATAAAAAAGGAAAAAAAAAAAAAAAAAAAAGAGGAAAAAAGAAAAAGAAAAAAAATTCATTTTCTATAATGATTCTGTGTTAGGCCAGAACTTGGTTATGTCACAGTATTAGCACTGCCTCAGTTAAAGGTTTAATTTTTGTTTAAACCTAGAAGTGCAACAACAGTTTTACCCCAGTCTGCACTCGCAAAACTTAAAAAAAAAAAAAAAAAGAAAAAAAAAAAGAAATAAAATCCAAACTACATATGTTTATTTTTTGTGCCTACCTCATTGTTTTTAATGCATAAAATAAAAGAGGTGGTTTAGTTTATACGTTTTTAGATGAGAACCATTAATGTCTAATTTAATCTTAATACCAAAACTACCAGATCGAAAGGTTTCTGACTGTTATTGCGTAGCAAGTTTCAGCAGGAGGAGAGAGTGGTCCGTTGGGGCAATAGTGGTAGCGGTATGGCAGTGAGACACTGATTAATGTAATTTGCTTACAAAATTTGGTAAAGCAAGCATTTTTTTAAACCAGTTTCATCCTTAATAGAAGTCTGAATTTAGCCTAAAACCAGAGGTTTCACTCTTCTAACACGTGGGCTTAGTAACAGGCAGGTAAAAATAACTAGGCTAGTTCTATAAACTGTTAAATGTTGTAGGAACCATTTTGGGGCGGTGATGTTTTTCTTTTTTAAGAATGCAATGCACTAAAACTCTTTTAAGAATGTAGTTAATACTGCTTATTCATAAAAACAGCGTATACCTGTGTTTAGATGTAAGATCCCAGCTCTGGCTTTCTTTCTTTCTTTTTTTTTTTTTAAGTCAGTTTTATTTTATGAATAAGTTCTGACATTTGTAATAAATGTCTTGAGAGTAATAATTTGTTTAATGGCTACATGTTCATTACTTGAGAAACCTTGAGTGTATAATAATCTGTTGGTGGTGTAATAATGCACAGTCTCATGATTCAGCCATTTTCCTTTTTGTTTTCACTTTTTTTTTTTAATTCCTTTGGTGGGGTACTTTGTTGACAGCTGCCTTAAGCTGTTCATTCAGTGAACAGGCTCTCAGTGTTTCATGGGCTTTGTCTTCTGCTGCGGTTAACTTTCCTTCATGGCATGACAGGTAGGGCTTTATAAACACGTATTCTTCAATTCAGTCAAGCTGATGGCTCGAGCGACTGGTCACACAATCAATTAAGAGCCAAGAGCACCGAGTGTGCAAAGCTCAGACTCGACAGACCCTTCTTTTGGTGTCAAATCTGACTGCTGTAAATCCTTCAACCCCAATCAGCGTTGCTGCTGAAGACTCTCTTTTGAACATCGTAGACGGTTGAAAAGCGAGCGGTAAATGCGTACCGCCAGCGCACGCGCGTGCCATTTGCTGGCGGAGGAATACCTAGAACTATTTTTTTTTAATCGTATGACTTTTGGATAGCGTTGAAGGTGAAGGATGTGTTCTTTTCAGGCCTGGTGTGGTCAGCCAGAAGAACGATCAACCTTTTGTACTATGATGAACTAAAGGGGACTCGGAAACGCGACGCGATGGTAGATGTGGGTGTAATCACACAGCTGCCCTGTAGTGTAGTTTGCCGAAGCTGATTCGATCGAATGTCAGTCTGCGTGATTTAAATCTTCCAGCGCTATGTGGTCAAAAATTAATCTAGTCCTTGAAAGCTGATGCTATTCACCTAGAGGAAGATGCTCCAGTACTGTAGGGATGCCCAGGTCACGGATACGTGCTGTTGAAGTTTTGAGGCTGCCGGGGGGGGGGAATCTCCTTCCTTCGGTGGGGCTGCCCGCCTGGCAGCTTCTGCCTCCGCAGGAGTGCCAACACGGCAAGGTAAAAACAGTATTACAAAACCACTACGTATACCGACATCGAACTCTTCAAACAGTGCTTTTGCAAGCAAAGAAGAAAAGAAAAGCTCCTAGGTTTAGTTTTAAGCTTTAATAAGTAATAATTTTCTGTATCTTTAAGTCAAAGTAACCCTAACTTGTATGACTGCAGTGTTTTTATTTTTTATCTTATGCACATGTTATGTTGGAGAAAATGTTTACAAAAATGGTTTTGTTACACTAATGTGCATCACATATTTATGGTTTATTTGAAAGTGATTTTTGTGGGTTTTTTAGTTTTTCATAGTAGTAGTAGTACACTTTTTGTGATTTATAACCCCAAACTCTGCTGATTATAAAGATGCTAAACAATAATACAAAATGACAAACTGCATTAAAATTACTAATCGTAGAGCTGCAAAGCAGACTGGTGACAAGTAAAACACACAGCCTTTTTTTTGCAGTGCTATCTAACTTGTCTTCTGTGTATTATGGAAATTACTGTTTTTTCCCCGTTTTTCCTTAAATAAAGTCAAATTGACACCTATTGTATGTGGAAAGTATTTTGAATATCTACTGGCTGCAGAAATCAAGCTGCATGTTGCCTAGTTGCATGTATCGTAAGAACAAAAGCCTTATTGTCAAATCTCGTAATTTTGGAGACTTTGACAATAAATGTGGGCATGTGGAAAGTATTTTGAATATCTACTGGCTGCAGAAATCAAGCTGCATGTTGCCTAGTTGCATGTATCGAGAAAAAAAAGCCTTATTGTCAAATCAATTTTGGAGGACAATAAATGTGGGCTTTTGAGGGCTTTTTTGTTGTTGTTGTTTTTTTCCTTAAAGTTCTGTCTCCTGGTGCAGTTGCTCTTTTGAGAATTACAATTTTCCTTTAAAAAATGAAAAGTGAAAAGCTTAGAAACGTTAGCAAGTGCCCGGTGGTTCAGAAAGAAGAAGTTGCACAAAGGAGAGCCTGGGTGCGTTGCGAACGTGCCCTCCCACCACACCACTTTCAGGCATGTGATTTTTTGGCATGACTTACTGCCAAGAGAGTGTGATGAAGGGGAATCCTGAGCCAGATTCTCGCACGGCATAAAAGCATGGCTCCAAAAAACTCAAGGCCTTCTGCGTCGTAAGCCATGAGTACTGAGCAGGTTTGAAGCAAAGCCGCTGTTTGCCCCCCCCGCCCCGGGGTTCTTGTTGGCCTTTGCCCATGTTTTTCCACCATGGGCTGTGTTTGTTTTCTGGAGTGGAGATAAGCAGTAGATGTTTCCTTCTGACTAGGCTGGTCTCTGCGAGAGGAGGAGGAAGTCTGTGTTCCTGGGCTCCTGCCTTTCCTCGCACTTCCATCTGCAGAAGGCAAGGGATGTGGTGTAAGTTGAAAAATGTTTCAGGGTTTCGCTTGCTTCCTATGGACGAAGGTATCTGAAATCCTCAAGCCCCGCAGCTTTTCCGCTTCTGCAAGCGTAGGTACTGACTGATCTTAATAAAACTAGCAGGACCAGCCAACCAGCCAGCAGGACCAAACCAGCAGGACCTGACCCAACCAGTCAGGCTCCTGCCAGCTCCGCTCCAGTTGCTGCTCCTGAGCTGCTGGTTTCCGTCAGTCATTCTTGACCTGTTGAAGACTTCCCTAAGTTAAATATACTTAGCATAGTTGAGCACCTTAGCTAGTCCTGAAGACAGATACGAGCTGTTGCTCATTACAGTATGCAGTAAGTAACTGAAATCAGCAACCCCAGGTGTGAGCTTCACAGCGGGCGCTGGCAGAGGCAACAGAGAACGTGCAAAACCTTCACGCTCCTGTGAAGAAAGACACAATTGCAGTCATTTACAGGAAGAAGGAAATAAAAAAAATGAGAGCATTGGAAACCGAGCAGCAGATCTCATTCCTCTGTGGGACTTGTGTAGGTAGCAGTGGTGAGACAGGCCCAAATTTGTACCTTGTGAGGGGAGGAGGGATGTACACAGGACAGAAGAGAACAAACTGCGCAGCAAAAGAACGTGCGCATCTTCAAAATTTAACAACTGCAGTAATCAAACTGGAGAAAGAAATGATCAAACATAAAAAGGAGCATTTGAAACATTTTTTTTACAAAGCTTTTAAATACGCAAGTTAAATATTAGTAATGAAAAGTGCAGAAACTTACCCATGAGATTAAAGTAAAAAACCTGCACATTAGAAAAGATACAAAGAGCATCCCCCCCGCCCCCCGAGGGGGGTTGCTTTGCTGAAACACACATGCTAGAGCATTAGGATTGTATAGGACCTTATATGAAAGGGGGAAAGTCTAGTTTTGTGGGCTGCTGCCTCTTGCGCAGAGAGCTTGTTAATTCTTTGGCTTGTATCTATACCGTGGTCTGGAATGAAGACTGTCATATTGATAAAAAGGGACCAAAGTTGTTGGAGAAACAACTTCAAATGCAAGAAAAGAGCCTGTGGCGGAGAGGGGACTCGGCACCGTGCGTTCAACATGGGACTGCTGTATCAAAACGGTCCAAGGCAACAAATTTGCTAATAGTAATGCGAATGCATTTCCACCTTGGTGTCCAGTGCCGTTACCCACCTGTGCGCTGCAGCATTTCAGCCCGAAGCTTTTTTCCTTCCAACGTCACTGAAGAAAAATCAGCTTGTGCAGTATTCCATAAGCACTGATTGGATGTAAGGAAAAATGTCTTTACTGAAAGAGTGGTGAAACATTGGAACAGGCTGCCCAGGGAAG